AAATGTTGCATGCTCTTGAAAATTCATCTAGACACTATCCAGTTTCCGAAGTGGTGCATTAAAAAAAATAACATTCAAAGTTTTGTTCTTCCATTATATGTTTCTTGTTGCTAATAGCATTTTGTCAAGAGTTTTTTTTCCCGTTCATGTCAACATACAAAAGCCTCGTAAGGACGAGACATTCGGCGACTGAGATAAATAACAATACGAATGAAACAATTATGGTTTTCACACAATCACCCACCTACTAAAAAAAAAAAAAAATATATATATATATATATATATATAATAATAATAATAATAAAGCAACAAACTGAATGCCACCTATGCGAATACGATCATGCGTCTGTCTACCCAGAAAACATTTGGCCTTCAGTACATGTGAATATTGATCTCTAGACGTAAGCGTATTAATCATTATAGAGTTGATTGGAGTGCTTTCCATAAACATGTATATCAGTAAAGGGAAAGCTGTGGAATATTTCCTGTGGTGTGATTTTTCAACTTAATATTGGTTATGAACCCGTCCCCAGCGTGGTGAGTCTAGGTTCACAGCGAAGACCCACAAGATATGTGTAATAACACATATGTCTACGTCAGTGATCTGAGCCATTCAAAACGTGCAAGAGCTATTTCTCAAATAATATTTCCGCACTGGTGGTGAGGCCTAAGGTTTCTGGTTACAATTGCGCTTTGCGTCATATGATGGTTCAAGGAAATTTCTGTTTGCTTCTGTGTTTCTTACAATCTATGCATGAACACTGAAAGGCAAATGTTCAGACTGAATTATTTATGGAGGTATGAGTGCATGACTGGAAGACTCAGACAAAGCAGATGATATTTGGTCTTTGTTTTTATGTGCAGCCTGAAAGAGAAAGAACTTTCTTAGGTCAACAAACACTAGGAGTCGTCTTTCCTGTCTCTCAATAAGAAGCAATCTTTTGAACTCGTACCGAGCTAAAATGAAATTGCCAAGGCGATCTCCGCCTTAACTGTTTTCAAATTTATCGAACTGTTGTGAGGAAATAGCTTCCGTTTGTTTGTACAAATAACGAACAAGGTCTTCTGAAGACATCTCAGATTAACTACTCCCCTATTTACGAGGAATCACCTATGCGATTGCAACTGACCAAGAAAAAAAGAAAAAAATTATCATTTTCATGAACTCTGGAAAGTGCTGATTATTCGACTTCAGTAATTATATTGCAAACGATAATAATAGTAATAATGATAATAATTAAAAGAAATAATAATTATAGTAACAGTATTGTTGTACTGATTTAATTGGAACACAGTCTACATGAGCTCTTTGCCCATTTGAAGTACAACTGTTCGCCAATCTGTTAGTGATTACATAAAGATCTGTCGAAGGATATTGACTACTTTTTTCGCTCACTTTCAGAAAAGGGTAAACAAGGCAAATCCGCTCTAATATTAAGTTGAAGTAAGTCACCAGTAAAAGGCGATGAGCATTATTGTTCTTAATAAGAAATCTTTGCGTGGCGTCCTAATTGTTATGAAATGATCTGATGTCTTTTGCATCTGATATCTTTTGCACCAAACCCAGTTAACATGGAAAGTGACCACCTTCGCAGTGGTTGCTATATTTCGTTTTGCGACAATGTGCTGATGATAAGGATACAGTTAAGTCAAAAAAAGGTGTCCATGATGGGCTTTTGGTTTATACCTCATTAACACCAAAGCCAAAAAACTTTTTAATGTTGCTTTGTTAAAAATAGTCTGAAATTGTTTTCTTCATTTAAGTTGCTTATGTTTGTCGACCTCAAAGTTATTACAATCCTGTGTAAAATTTAGTTGTTCAGTTTTCTATCGCGGTTTTTTATCCTGTTAAACCTGGTTTAACTAACCATGTTTTGTTGGTGTAAATGACACACAAGTTCTAGTCTGGTTCTTGTAATGTTATTACTATAATATGTGTATTTCGATGAAGTCTTCTGATGTTTCTTTCTTAAGTTAATTAAGGATATCCTTAATCTAGCTTGGCGATTATGGTGAGTTTCAATCAGTAATTTTGTAAAAATAAAATTGTGCAGTAATTTCGTGATATTGCTGCGTCGTGTGAAAACTCCTCCTAATTGCGATCGAATGATTCACTTCCGTTGCGACAGAAGTTATTGCTGTATAATTTTGTAATTCATGTTTGAATGTTAAATTACTCGATTATAAATCGAGGTTATTATGATATGGAGATCTAAACATTCTGATGAGAATCTTGCATGTTTTGACTTCTCGTACAAGTTTATAAAAGTTCTATAGGTCGAGTGACAAACTGTGTACCTTCTTCTATGTCGTAATTTGTTTAAGCCGGCCTGTGGATAATGATATTCTGAAATTTTTGATAAAAATATATATTTGTTTGTATGTAGGATTGACCAAGTGTGATATTAATCAATTCGGTGTCAGAAGGGAAAAATAAAAATTGGCGATCGATGGTGAAAAAAAAACGTGAAAGAGGATGATTAAAGATGGCCCGTAACGATCTAACGAACAAAAAATGAATTTTAGAAAAGTATTTGCAAAAAATAGCAGTCTGACTGGCATGCTCTTCGACACAAACATCATTTTCCTGAAACGATGAGCTATCCTTCCTAATAATGAAGATTATGGAAAAAATTATAAAAATTTTTTGTAATCCAATCTCGCTTAATTACATCTTTGGTTGCTTGTATATCATTTCTCTACGTTGGAAATAGGTTCGTGGGCTCTTGTATTTTAGCCTAATAACCCACTCAAAAGTTATTTATCCAAACGCAACGGATCAGCAAAGTAAACAGTGGATAGCAAAATATAGTGTGGTAAATCTTTGCGAACACTTCTTTACCTTGTATGACAATAACAGTCAAGTTCAATTTCTCTGTTCGCGGAGAGAAATGGCGTCGCTTTCTGTCACAATCTCTCAGCCTTCGATGATTTACCGAGGCTAGACTCGTTGTGATTTATATCTTAACCTCTGAAGGAAGAGCTGGGCAGGTGTCAAACGCTGGAGCGTAACAAACAGATCGCCGCACAGCAAGAGGGTACACAAATCAAGAAAAATATGACACATTCGCGCCATTGGTCGTGGTTCATAATTGCACACACTTCAATGATTATTACTTTTGGCATATGGCGCGGGAGGATGGCGATTTTCATTACTCTTTGAGGAGTGATTTGTGGGGTAAATTTATGCAGCCGCCATTGACCAAATTTTCTCTACTTATTGTGAATCACAATAGTGTTGTTTTGTGCTTTCTTTCATCAACGCAAAAACGGCATGATAGCTTGACCTACGGACAACATAGACATGTATTGTTTTAGTCTCCCTTAAGAGGAAAACACATTGCCATGATGTCGCCATACTTAGGGTATTGAGAAAATCCTTTATTAAAGTGCCCCCAGAAAAAGAAATCGTACGTGAGGTCGAACAGCCGCTGTTATAATTTTATTTTCCAGATTACTAGGAAACATGCATTCTGAGCATAGTGCCTAGAAGGTAAAGTTTGCTACCTAATCTTGATCGCAAAGACTGAGTCGTGAGCAAGTTATATTACTTAGTGAGTTGTGTTTGCATTAAGAGGGGGCAAGAGACAACAAAATCACACAAATGATCAAGCGACATGCAGGTCAACTGTCCGGTCGAATCAAAGTCTCCCAGTGCAAATGGTAAGATTGTCAACATCTTTTTTCTTTTTCTGATAAAGGAGCTAGCTTTAAACTCAGTCAGCAAAGGTGTAATAAAATGTATTGGAAAAAAACCTATGAAAAGTTGTGAAATTTAAACAAAAGCAAATGACAAATAACAAAAGCTCAAAAACGAAAATAAATACACTTTTGTAAAATTCCCTGAAAAAACGGGTTTCCACGCCAACCAAAATGTCGAGGTCAAGGTCTGCCAACATGATTGATCAGATTATGTGTATAGCACGTGAATGCAAAAGACGAATACCAAGGGGGAAGGGGAAAAATAGTCAAGTTGCAAGACACAATGGCTTTAAATTAGCTGAAATTGCGAGTATCGAACCATAGAGAGATTTTAAAGCATGGTTGACGCGACTTCTAATATCTATTTGATGTCAACAAAGTCTTGATCTCAATTTCGTCCCCAGGAACTCACGGGAGTCTCATTTTCCCGTCAAGAGACCTTGAGAAGGAGTTTGAGTTATCTAGGAATTTAGGAACTGGACAGTGGAAAGGACCTCAAGATTCTTTTAGAATATAATCCTTTGTAGCATTTTTCGAAAGTTGTGCAATGATTGATTACAAGCCAATTAATACATACAGACAGCTAGAGAAAACAGCGGGGGAGATTGATGAAGATAATTATGAATGGGTTGACGATTGAATAAATAACTTAACTGTATAATATCAATCTGCGAATCACTGGAATTAATACCATGGTTTCGTGCCTGCATTATCTCTACTTTGAACCTGGCAATTATTTTTTTTTACTATCAAAGAGGCATCTTTGTGGTTGAATTATTCCAAAGATAATTTTGAGGTGATACCGGAACGTAATAATTTTCATGGGAAGGTAGTGCCTTTCATAATATAGTGGATAGCGCTAAACGCTGATTCTGATTGGCTACTCAAACTTCGCAAATACTTTGCTTTTTACTTCCCGAATGCTCGCGGGACTTGCTCCCGAAAACGTTGTAACTGTCGCATGAATCATTTCTTTGTGCTGTATTATCTCACTGTTTTGGTTAGTAAAGAAACAATTTTTCCGCGGCTCGGTAAATATCCACCACCAGCCACCCCCACTTCGGTGAATAGTTGTTGAATAAATATCGTTCTCGAAGAGTCTACGACACAGTCAAAATTGGAATATATTTGTAAACTGTTATAAATATCGACGTGAGGTAACATTTTTGTAATTTCACTTACAAAGGGATTTTCCCAGGCACAGGTGTTAGGACACGAAATCAGCCAATCAGAGACTTACTTGATATTGGCCAGCGGTTCCAATGTTGCAATAAACAGTCCTCCCTTCTCGTGAGAAAATCACGATCGTGTAATGAAAATTGCGCCTGTAAATCGGCGAAATGACTCTAGTTTTGCATTGAAGACTAAAAAATTGATCAATGTTTCCAGATACTATAGTATTTGGTAGTTCGGTTAGCGGTCATGAAAATAGCTCGTAGGGGTCCGTGTCCTGTTTGGTTGTTATTGTCCAATGGCCGTTAGTAATGAATCAGCGAACAGCGACAAGGCTTCGCCGTCGCTGCTTTTATACGGCAAACAATTGTCTCCAGAATGGAAAGCGATTTCGACAACGGGTCAAAGGATATATTTTGTCAAGTAAGTATTCACATAGACTGATTTTAGAATTCTGTAGTTGGGCAGAACTTTCTGGAAGCGAAAAAATTAACGAGCTATTTTTAAAGAATCTAATAACACGACCAGGTATAATCACATTTTCCGATTTCTTATTTCAATTTTATTTACAGCAATACTTAGTTTCGATAAGAATATTACAAGGCGTAGCGAATTTTTTTTTTTCTGTGAGCGACAGATAGTATACATTTGATCGGTTCCGTTGGGTATTTTTAATTTTATACGCATGTATTCCTCGCTGATAATTCGTGCTCGAGATTTACATTACAACTTCGCTCCATGTAAATAGATCACTTGTACTCTTAAGTCTTAACTTAAGCGCCTGTGTTTATTGAATAGATACGACCCTTAGATACACCGAAATACTCTTCCATATCGATGTTTGTCCGCTTATTCACATCTACTTCAACACACAGGAGTAAAATTTGTAATACATGCGCTGACAACAAATGGTTAATTCTGATTTGATTCCATTTTTACAGTCAGCGCACTCGATCATCGCACTGGTTTCCACCACCAGAATTTTGGACGAGTAAACTTGGCCTTCCCTACGGTTGGGAAGCGGCTCTGGATGACCACGACAGGAAATACTATATAAAGTACGTAACCAAAACGTGAGATGGTTAACTTAAACTTTTGTATCTTTGATTTAAACCACCCCGTTCGCATCATATTTGCGGGGAAACGACAGGTGTATTTATATTTGGGTAAACATTGCGAGACAGAGTTTATTGCTTTTGCCGCGTGAACGAATATATAATAGTCTTTGTTATTTTGAACCGGTCTTCGCGTAGCTTTAAATCGCATTAACTTTTGAGCGATATGCAAGTGATTTTATATTGTGTCGCGGTAATTAATCCAGGGTAATCTTTAAGGAAAATGCTAACATCGAATTATCTTGCACGAACAGTGGATTGGAACTCTGAGCCAAGTTCGAATCTCCGATCGATGCGATAATACATTAGATTATGTAAACTTCAGACACAGGCGCCAGATTTCATTTAGTTCTGATAAATATTGTTTGATGAGGCTACGAATTGTAAATGTAATTATATTGCATTACTTTAAAGCGAGACTCATTCATCCGTGGAACACTGCCTCGGTTTCTAATATTAACAGAGACAATTATTGCTTTTGCGGTAAAACCGAAGTGAATTTTACTTGTCTCCTCTCTGTTTTGTCTCTGTTTTGTTTTGTTTTTTTGAAGAGGGGTGGGCTAGGGGAATGGAAGCAGTATTATGAAGTGGGCTATACTGGCCTCATGATCAATGGGGAAGGGGAGGGTAGGTAATTATCAGAACTATGATAATGGCTAAGGTGAATTAAATTGACAGCAACAGCAGGCAGCAGCTTGTACTGCTGAGTAAAAAATCCACAAAAAAAAATTTTTTTTTTTTCAAATTTGATAGCCTCTGACTCTTTTCAGATTATGCAGCTGTAGTAATTATGATGATAGTAATGGTATTAACAATGACAGCAATGAAATGAAATACAAAGGAAAGAACAAATTCCATTAAAACATGTGTTTATTGTTCATGGTGGTGTTAGAAAGGAGATAAACTTTGTCCATTTGTCTCACGATAGAGTCACTTTTCGATGTTGATTGCAATGTTTCAACTTATGAGGACCTTTAAGGACTTCTGAGGACCTATGACGGAACACCATCTAACAACAGGAATAATGACGAGCTTGAAATGCAACAATAATAGCGTACCAACATGCTACAAATAGCAACATGTAAACAATCAACCTCATCGTTTGGTGAAGACTAGCAGTATTGCAGTCAAAATGTTGCGATCA